AAATTATAATGAAGTATTATTTAATTATTATTAATTATCATTAACATTTATCATTTGGTCTTTATAAAGAAAGAAGATTAACTATATTGCACTTCTAATTATTGAAACAAGGATGCATTATTCATATAAAAGATACTTTTAATCTTATTGCAACTGTATATTCGATATTTTAAATAAAATATAAATATAATAAATAAATTTATTTTTTAGCATTTGTCTATTAAATTAAATCTAAAATTATAATGTAATCGAATTTTCATTAATTAAAAGCTCTAGTATCTTTACTGTTAAATTCAACTATCTCGAGAATGATAATTCACTCGCGCTATCCATCGACCTATGCTTTGAGCGGCACATCCTGCATTGATTGCACTCTCGAAGTTCTCGAAAGTCACTTGATGCAGTCACGCTTTATATCGTTTCGTGGCTGCAAGCTTTGGCTATGAGGCAGATTTCGGTAGATCAGATTATTTCATAATGGTAGATCTATTTCTGTTGGCATTAATTGATTGAATATGACTTAGGAATTCAGCATTGAAACACGATGCAATCTAAAAATATATCATTTAAATTCTATATATTGTTTAATGTCCGCGATTCAATTCCACAATTATTATATTTTATTAATTTTAGAATTCTTACATATATTTATTTTTTAATATAAATCATATATATTTTATATAAAAATTATATTAAAAAAATTATATTAAAATTATATTTAAAAAATTATAGGAAACAAATTGTCTGTTTTACCTTAAATTTATGGAAAAAGATTTGAGTTTAATTTCTTCAGGAAGATTATTAATTTACATTTTTTTTTAATATTCACGAATTAAATATATTCGTTCGAAAGAATGTAACAAAATAAGGATGCTTTTTAATCGTGCGCAAGTAGGACGTTGGATGGCTCACGCTTCTGCTCCAGCGAGCGGATGATAATTATCATAATGCGCTCGCACTACTTCCTGCCACTACTCGCTCGGCGATACATAGTCGCACAGCCTGCAACTGCAGTCTCGTCCTTGTGCATCTCGGTCATGACGTAGCGCATAAAGCTCGATCGAAGATCCGAACACCCACGTGCGAGCGAGCGAGCGAAGTTTTCGTCCATGTCGCTGTCAGGAATTTTTGCGAATTATTTTAACCTCTTTCAGATTCCATCGAACTCTGAACAATTTTTGCAGTAGATTTTTTTATAATATAATGTGTGTCAAAGCGTTAATGATTTTTACATTATATTAACGGTTAAAAATTCTTTCAATTCTTTGGATAATAGAAATTGTTTTTATACCAAATAATGATATATAAGTTTCTTAATTTATTAAATCTATATTAAAATTTGGAAATTGTGGAAATTTTAATTGTTAATTGGAACGCATCTTTACGAGAAGCTAGCTTAGCTGAAGCAGCTCATGTGTTTGGCTGATGATGTGTGCTTCTTCTTGGACTAACGATGAGGAATTTTTGTGAATTATTTTACCTCTTTCAGATTCTATCGAACTCTTTGCAGTAGATTTTTTTATAATATCATATAATGTGTGTCAAAGCGTTAATGATTTTTACATTATATTAACGATTAAAAATTCTTTCATTTCTTTGAATAATAGAAATTATTTTTATACCAAACAATGATATATAAGTTTTTTAATTTATTAAATCTATATTAAAATTGTGGAAATTTTAATTGTTAATTGGAACGCGTCTTTACGAAGAGCTAGCTTAGCTGAAGCAGCTCATGTGCTTGGCTGATGATGTGCACTTTTTCTTGGACTAGTGATGAGGAATTTATGTGTCTCAAATAGATGTTGCTAAAACGATGAGTGTTGGATTTATTTTAAGTTGACCTACACTCGGAAAGTTCTTTGTAATTCTTGCATCTCTCGTTTGTGTTTTCCCTCGAGTTTCTTTTCGATAACTGAAAAAAGTGTCACTGCAATCGATCTATAATAATTTGATTGACTCAGATGTTCCTACGCGCAGTTTGTTATTATTAAAAAATTACTCATTAATGATAACTCATGTTATGGTCTTTTCACAGATCTTTAATATCGAGCTAAAATTTTATTTGTCAAATTTTCATTCATTGAACTAAAATTATTTTCATGACGCTGTTGAAGATTTTTAAATTTATTTTAATTTAAATTTTATTTAGATACGATATATATTGATACATTTGCTACGGATAACGTATTGCGCTGTAATATCGTTCCTTGAGAGTTCTGTTTATCCTATCATCAAACTCGTTGTAATTAATGGCTTCATTCCGTCATGTAAGTTGGCATCTGTATATTAAAGCAAGAAATAGTAGCACTAGGTATGCGAAGCTCGATACTTGTTATCGCTGCGAGACTTTGGACATACGCGAGAAATGTATCACATATATCAAATAAATTGCTAATTACAAATCATTATCATTATTCAATTTGTTACTGATACGAGGAAATAATTTTATACTTTTAGATATTTTTAGATTTAATGTAAAAAAGATTAAAAGAGTATTCGAGATAAAATGTAGTTTAATATGTCGAACATGCATTCAACATTCAACTATAGAGAAAAGAAAATTGAAAAGAGGAGTAACAGGATTTTCAGTGAATTCCGGGTCTTTGAGAGGACCTGGAGATAGCTTCACCGTGCAACGTACAATCTCGTGTTCACGCTCCGTTTACCGTTCAAGCATGTTTAAAGCGTTAAGCGGTTCCTTTGCACATTTGCTATTTCGAGTTTTACCACGCTGGGTTTAATGAGTCGGCGTAACCGAATTAATAGGCTGCATTAATGAATGTATTAATAATTTAATTGATCGAAATAATTACTTTAATAATATGTACAATGTCGAGTAGCCTGATATACATAACAGTTCATGTACCTGCGTGTTACGAGGCGAGCAAAGCAGTCGATTACCCTTCATCTCAATCTATCCGTAATTTTTCCGCCTCTGCTTTTTTAGCCCCATCGTCTCAGAGCCTTTTTCCAATCCTCTGGAACCTCTCATCGACCCGCAATCCATCCATTTGGAAATATCTTGAGAGATGGGTCAAACGCTTCGATAGATAGTATGTCGAGAGATTGAAAATAATAGCGTGACGTCGGGTATCTGACGGATTCTACATCGTTGCGTCATAGATTGGCGTCTGCTTCCGATTTTACACGTGCAATCAACGTGCGGTCAAGTTGTATCCGTGGTGAAAAATTTTCGGTGAAATAATCCATTAAAAATAACGGGAGTGGTCATATATTTCGATCGATAACCCAGTTAATACGATCGACTTAAAGCTCGGCGGTTCTCTCTTCTCCTCTCTCTCTTTCTCTCTGCGGAGAATTATACTTTTTAAATATTAACCGAACTTTCGCAATGCTTTTAAAAGCTTTTATAAAGACACTTCGAGCTCACCATGATATACGAGTACCGTATTCAACTTTTAAGAATTTGAGAGATATTCGAGAGGTAGAAATAATATTAAAAGGTCAACAAATGTCACGAAATATGAGATATCAGATTCAAATTCTTTTAATGGAATTTTTATTTTCTCGCATAATAATAAAATAAATTACAATATATATGAATAATCGCGTAAATCATAAATACAAATTATATCTCTATATAATTCTATTTGCTTTGTTATTGTTTTATAATTGATATTACGCGGGAAATTTTACTTTGTACGTGAACCTAAACCTTTTCCCTTTTTAATTTGCAAACAGATTTTAAATAATGAACTATAGTCGAGATGATGAGAGACCAGAGCGCTTTAGACATGAATTCTTTGTGCATTGCGGAGCAACGCTCATTCATTGTTAATCAATGAGCTCGGATGTAAAGCAAGTTGCCTCCAGCACGAATGGAATAATAAGTATCGAGGAATAGCGTTGGCACCAACAAAGTTACCGTGGGCCTTGTTTTATATTTTCATCCCACGAGCGCAACTTATTTTCATTCAAACGCCGTGGACGCGGTATATCAGCGTTTCCATGCATGTATGAAAGCTTGCGACCGACAGTGCCGCTATTATACGGCAAACAGGTGTTCGCTTATTCCGGTGACGTCGTTGTTGCATCCGTAAAACCAGTGCGCTCGTATCTCGTACGTCCGGATAGACGGGAAAAGTTTGATCACGTACTAATGTGTCCGTGCTCGTAAATCATTTTACGAGCGCATGTACATGTCTGACAAAGGAATTCTTACGCAAGATTATTAGCGATCGAGCTAAAATTATTCTATATTCCATCAAGCTAAAATTATTTTATATTCCATTATCTTTTCCTCAAGTACAATTAATTATTATTATTAATTATTTTATATTCCATATATCTTCCTCAAATACAATTAGCACTCTCTACAAGTGAATCAGTGTATTATCACTGTAATCAGTGCTGTACTAACTGCTTGTAATCAGTGAGTACTTACTGTTTTTAGTAATAATACACTGATTGACGTTGGTGAAAGTAATATATATACTACTTTCACTAGAGCGAATCAGTGTATTATCACTGAAAAACAGTAAATTCTCACTGATTAGAAGCAGTTATAAGCACAGCACTGATTACAATGATAATATACTGATTCACTTTTAGAGAGGTAGCTCGTTTCTAAAAGGCACAATATATTAACATTAAAATTATATTAATATTATACGAGACACCGTGTGTCCGAGAATTTTATTTGACACGAAGGGTTTCGGACGCATTTCCAAAATACCATACATGACGTACTCCGCTTGCGGTCCACTCGGCGCTTTATCCAGCCGACACGTGTTCGGAGGTCGAAGCGATCGGTGGCGATGAGGGTCGAAGGTATGAACCGACATGGTACGCGGCACTGCGACACGGTGCTGGGCCGCGGGGGTGGCGGTGGCGATGACGACGACGACGGTGGCGGCGGCGGTGGCGGTGGAGGGGGAGGTGGTGGTGGCGGCGGCGGCGGCGGCGGTGGCGGCGGTGGCGGCGTCAGAGCCACGTCGCCCGGCATCGCATCCTCTCTCGGAGTCAGTCGGCTGCCAGGCGCGACGCGAGTCAGTCGTGCTGCCGGTGCGTAAGAGTCTACCCGCCAGTCTTCTTCGCTGCACTTCGGCCGCGGTCGGTCGATCCCGCTCTCTCGGGCTCCTCTTCTCTCCCTCTCTCCCTCCTCTCTCTCTCTCTCTCTCTCGTGCGCGCGCGATCGTTACTCTGAGAGAACGTCCGCGAGCGCCGTGGACCCGCGGCAGGTGAAAAGCCGACGAGAGTTGATACAGTTTCCAGACACGACACCGGATTCGGCACATTCGGCATTCGACGCCTGTCATCGGCGGATGTCAGGCGCGCGGCTACTGATCTCCGATTAACGAGCGCGTCCTCGGATCGGACGCTCGTTGACGTTTGAACGGCGTGGGTAGAGAAACTGTGCTGCAGTGCCCTCGATACAGATCCCTAGAGATATCGAGAGAGTATTTCGTGAGGGATTCGAATACTCTTGTACAATAGTTTGGATAATTGCATTGAAAGGTTGAAGAGCTCTCGAATTAATCAAGGGAGCGTTAGCTATTGTGCTCTCCGTTAACGAAATCTAGACTGAGATCGAGCCAGCAGCGCGGTTGTTTGGCAGGAAGTTTGAATAGTGATTATGCAATTTCAAGCGGGATTTCGCGTTAAAATTTACGAATTTGAGTTAAATAAAGCGTAGACAACATTCTAGTAGTAAAGAAACTTTGAGATAAAACAACGGTACGGAAAATCAATACAATTACAACTTGCAGCAGGGAACAACTTGAAGCTCGAGATAAACAGCGAGACACTCGAAGTTTCGGAACCGATCAAGGCGGCCAATCTCCGATATTCGACAGGACAATTTGGCGCGGATTAATCGTGGCGCGGATTAATCGTGCAGATAGCAGATCTAAGCAGAATAGAACAACGAGATTTAAAAGGTTTACTTTTGCAGCGGATCGAGGCAGCACGCTCTCGAATAACACGTATTCAGCACGAGACGAAAAGTAAACACGAGTCGAAACAATAATCGACGCGATATCGGAACAAGCGTCGAAATTAAATAGCCTGCATTCGATACGGGAGCCTAAAACGGATATTTGTAAATTATATCCGGTGCGAGAGGCAACGCACATCCGCCGCGTGTCCTCGACGTATTCGACACAAGACGACGAGGCGAGTTTCAACAGCGATCAAGCCGGTCGTTGCACTTCGCCTGCTCACTTTGGTAAATCTCCTCCGGGAGACGCCTCCTCGTAATATACCGTTACTATCACGATCGGACGAGGCGACCGCCTCTCGTGTCTTACTCTCACGACTGTTCCACATCAGACTCTCCGATTCTGCTTTCCGTTTTAAACGAGGACGCTTCGAGTGTTTGCTTTTTATAAGACCTTGCGAGTCGGACCGAAAGGACTTTAAACGCGTCTTAGTTATTTACAACAAACCGATTACAATTAGCCCGTGTCAAATCGGCGATAAGCCGATTAAACGCATTGGAAGTAGCGTGCGATTTTGATTATTCTCGGAAACATTCGATAAATTCCAAGCTAGTGAAAAAAGTGCTGAAGGAGGACAGTCGGGCGACATACGAGAAAATTCCAGCCTCTGTTATGCGCGCGCTGACCGAAGCGATGAAGAATCGCGCGATCAGCTGACTAGTCGAGCTATTCGGCGGCCGTACCGCTGATAAGGACATTATCCCAGACAAGGACTCCCGGCGACGCCCGCCGCCCGCTTGCTCTGTCATGACATTTGGCACGCCATTCCACACCGAGAAGTCGCAGTTAGCCAGCGAGAATTCCGCTCGGTATGTATTTGTATGCATTCACGATGATATTCGAGCCGCTCGATCCGATCTCTGAAGCTCTCGATTTCGAGACAAAACAATTTTAATCTATTCTCTCGATTAATTATATCGAACGGCAATACACTTTTTTTAATATTGCATCTTATTATTTTTTACCGTAGCACTAATATTTTTTTGACTTATAATTTTTATGTATTATTTGATTAGAAAATTAATACATATAATTTTGATGCAATTTGTAAAAGTGATATAGCAAGAAATTAATGTTGTTTATTTGATGTTTAATTCTCGTCAATTAAAAAAGATATTTTTTAATTGACGAGAATATATAAGTGTGTTGCGCAGTTACACGTGTAGATAATATTGCTGCAACAAACAGATTCTCACAAAGAGGAACAAGTGCACGATCCGATATAATTGTTATGTTTTCATAACAGTTTAAGATCTCTTGCTCTTTTATTGCAAAAAGAAACACTGCATTTATTTGTAGTCGGCATTGTTTATTCACTGAAAGAAATACATGCGTCATTTGTATTTTGAATTTCTTTAAATCTTTATTTTAAAATAATCGATATACAGAGCTTTTGTAACGAGAAATATATCAGATTTTTTCACGTATTTAATTATCTAATAATCTTGTGAAAAAATTTATTTATATCATGTAAATAACTTACGTAAATAATCTCTTCATTACATTTTTTATCGTTCGAGAACTTGTACTTCTTTTTTAGTATTACATAAAATCTTTTATCGAATTACATTTTTTATTGACACACAATTATTGACACGCTATTATTTTTTGATTTTGTCCTTCACGTGCAAAAGCATGACTGGCATCTCGATATTAAAACGACGCATATAGCCACGTGCGAATCCACGAGAAGAAAAAGATCGGCTTTATCGAACACGTACATATATGTTGCGAACAAGTTGATGAGTAAGAAAAGAAGCGAACGCACGAGAAGGAATGCGAATGAGAAACGCGCGCAATTCCCATGCGACATTATTAACACTCTTTGTTGGCGCCCCTCGATGTATATCACGCCGTTACTTTTTCACGATTATACGTAATAGCTTACCGCGATCTCCGAGGGAATGATAAGTTTATTCATAAAGAAAGCATCAGGACAGGAGTTATGAATTTTCCGGTTTTCCTCGCCGCTCATATTTTTCCGTTAATGTTTCAGCGATTTATTATTCGCGCGAGAACTGCATTTCGTGGATATTTGGGGGATATTTATTTCTGATTCTGTCGTGTTTTTATCGCGAATGAAATAAATATTTTCATATTTGAATACATTTTTATCATGTTTAATGTCGCGTTTTTAGTGAAAATTTATCTAAATAGTTTAAATGCCAAAAAAATGATATAGATTAATCTGAGGAGAATAAAATTTTTAAAATATTCTTAATGCGAATTAATTTTCATTAATTTATTTATTTGAATGTAATACGTTAATTATATAATACAATCAGAGATAACCGATAGTCACATAATACAACTACTGTAGAAATAATTTGCAAACATTCTTTGATAAAATTATGAGTGTCTTTGAATTTTTTGCAATATCTTCACTTGATGATTCGTGAAATTAGATCATTCTCGCTAATAAATACGCAGTAATATCGTTGAATCGATGAATTGGAAAAATCCAACAATATTGCGTTGGAAAAACCGAGGAAATAAGGTCATACAGTAGGATGATAAGTTACTGTAATCTTATCCATGGCCTATGCAACGGGATTCAAAAATACGACATATATATAAACTGTTTTAAAGATATTATAAATCATAGAAACAGACATTCATACACAGCATTAAAGTATGCGAGTCCAAATATTTTTTGTCACAAAAAACGATATGAAAATGCATTTGAATCGTAAATGCAGATGTACAGTTTAAGCATATACATCTCCTTATACAAAATTCATCAATATAAAACTTCAAACAGGATATATGGATAAAATATGCGGTCAAGTTTCTAATATTTAAAAGGCCTCGAATTATTAGAAAGTTTTCATAAGTATATGTTCGAATATTTTGAAATTTTATTTAAAATTTCTATTAATAATTTGTAATATAAATCATTTGAAAAAATCCAATAAAAATGGACAAAAGATTGTATTTATGTGAAGTAATAAATAATTCATGTACCAAATAATTATTTCAATTGATATTAACATAAAGCATAAGCTCTCTCTCTCTCTCAATAATATTTTTTAAATTTTGTATTGAAATCTGTTTTCGGACATATTTAATTATAAAAATCTTTTGTTACTTATTTAAATATCTCGATATTGCTACAAGGTTCTTTTTTTATTTATTGATTATGAGTTAGCAATACATACGGGTAAAATTTTTAAACTTCGCGAATCCGTTGTCTTACTATACGTGAAGTAAAAAGGTCGCATATTCATTACGCGTTGGACCCCGATTATGGTCATTGCGCCAATTCAGTCCGACATCCGTCCACGTCATGCGTTCGTATGGACAGGCACTTCGCTTCGCAGTTAAATACTCCCGTTAGGACCATGTTTTCACACTGCTTCACAGAGATAAAGGAGTCAGTCACATCACTCATGAATCAAGGATTTTGCGGAAGGCGTCGCGCAATGACTTTTGAACTTGTCTGCGAAGGCAAAATTTACAGGACACGTGAATTTAATGGAATTAAATAATATATTAATATTATTATTTGCAATCGAAATATAAAATAACGATATTATATCCGATATGTTTATTAATATCGAATATATCGATATTATTCAGTCATACGGAACATGATAATTGTTGTCATGATAATTATAGACATTTCTACGACGTGTTATTAATGCAAATAATTTATATAAATATGTGTGTTTTGTTTTTGTAACAGGAATATAAAGTTATTCAATTATATTGGTGTTACAGAGACAAAAGTAAAATCATAAATTTGTTTTTGACGGTTGCGTCATTTCAGTGATAAACCTTTCATCAACTAATGTATAACTCGCGAAAGTTAGCATTTTCATAAATTACAAAGTCGACGAGGTTTGATTGATACAGTAGTACCGGGAATCTGATTAAAGTCGCGTTGGATTCCGATACATATATCTCTTTCGCGTGCTCTGTGTATTTAATTACATCTAATTATTTCTCCGTTAATTAAAGCAAATTGCATCGATGCAGCCACGTAAATATTAAATCTTTTCCTAATTATTGAATCATAATTATAAATTCAACGTTATTCAACGTTATTATGGCAACAGAATATATAAGGCACGATCGGTTACAGTAATTTAATTTCATAAATATTTATTTAATGAATATTATGAAGTTAATGAATTGAGATACAAAGAGAAAATGCGCATAGAGAGAAAGATCGAATTAACAAAGGATCGGTATGCCGTGAATCATAAATAGCCAATGCATTGTTACCATTGCCCTGCGTTTACCGTTGCTGCCAAGTTTCCCATTGTAGAGCAGAGCGTGTTATATATCGCGTTCGCACGCAAAAGTTAAAGGGTTACGCTATCAGCGCTGCGTGTTCAGGAAAGAAGCAATAATTAACGCGCAAACGTACAATAGACGCATGCATAATATATGTTAGGTATGTGTATTCCGCGAAAAATCTGCTAATTCGCATTTAAGTGTCCAACTCCGTGCATGTTGTACATGCATTCGCGATCATGGTGGAGAGGGACAGTGACACGTCACAGGATGCACGTGACAAGGCTGGCGGTGAGGAGCGCTCGAGGTTGCAGTCAAGGCTGTAGAAAGGCGCTGCCGGTTGCATCTCGCGAGCTATACCGAGCAGGTCGTCGACCCCGTCGAGCGCGTTCGTCGCTGTTTGTGCAAGGTCGTTTTACTTAGGTTCGTCTTGAATCGACCAAGTTGACGCGACTAAACGCACTTACCATGATAACGATGCATCGGAGTACGTTGACTAGAGATGCTGCTGTATAAATCATGTTTAGACTGCATGGCTACGCGTAAACTCTTGTTTTAATAATCTCTTTGATTAATTTCAAGCGGAAAATTGTAATTATTAATTATGATTCGAAAGCTCGAAAATGTTTAAAATAATACAATATATGTTCTGAAAATTGCTGCAAAAAGATGAATAGAACATTTACGAGAAAACAAATTATTAATTTAGAGATTTTATTGTATAATATGATATTGAACTCTGGATGATATCGTGATAATTCATGCTCTTTTTCGGCAAAATTTTTTAATAATTTCTTTGATTAATAATCTCTTCAATAATCTCTTTGAAGCTGGATAATTGTAATTATTAATTATGATTCGAAAGCTTGAAGCCCGAAAATGTTTAAAATGATACAATATATGTTCTGAAAATTGCTGCAAAAAGATGAATAGAACATTTACGAGAAAACAAATTATTAATTTAGAGACTTTATTGTATAATATGATATTGAACTCTGGATAATATCGGTAATTGATGTTCTTTTTCGGTAAAATTTTTTAATACTCTCTTTGATTAATTTGAAGCTGGATAATTGTAATTATTAATTATGATTCGAAAGCTCGAAAATGTTTAAAATAATACAATATATGTTCTGAAAATTGCTGCAAAAAGATGAATAAATAGAACATTTATGAGAAAACAAATTATTAATTTAGAGACTTTATTGTACAATATAATATTGAACTCTGGATGATATCGTGATAATTGATGCTCTTCCTCGGTAAAATTTTTTAATAATCTCTTTGATTAATTTGAAGCTGGATAATTGTAATTATTAATTAAGATTCGAAAGCTCGAAAATGTTTAAAATAATAAAATATATATTTTGAAAATTGCTTCTCAAGAAGATAAATGAATAGAACATTTATGAGAAAACAAGTTATTAATTTAGAGATTTTATTGCATAGTATGATATTGAAGTCTGGATGATATCGTGATAATTGATGCTCTTCCTCGGCATTTTCGTCGGAGAAAAATGGACTATAAATTGGTCAAAGAGCATGACATTAAGTGTTGCTGCGGGATACC